GAGAAATTAAAATCGGTTGTAGTTGTGCTCGACTCTGAAAGCCAAGTGTGTCTATGTCCTTCAACGTGGTATGCTTAAGGCACTACACTGCACAAGCCTACACTCATATAAGAGAAGGCTTCAGCATATGCACTGAGATTGCTCATTTTTAGTGCATGTTGCTGGGCTGTAGTGCTGTTGTGCTTCAAGCTCTAACAATGAGCAGAGAAGAGCCAAGGGCAGGGTGTGTGCTGGTGCACCAGGCTCAGGCTGCTCCATCCGGGCACAAACCAGGGATAAGGCTGGTGCTGAGGTACCAGACAAGCTCTTTTGCTTTTCCTCTCATGAGTATCTGATCTGAGTGTCTTTCAGTCTAATTCATGAAAAGCACAAGGCAATGGTGTCAAAATTTTATCTTAATGTTTGAACTCTGTGTAAGTTGCCCTCTTTCATCATCTTGTTTGAAAAGCCTGGCAGGTGGTAGGATTGAATTAAAAGTTTATCGGTTTTGTCAATGTTATATCATGTGAGCTGGAGAATGATTTTCCATTTGCACCTTCTTGTAAGTGTGGATCATGCTATTTAACAGGAACTAGATTTGAGTTATTGTCTCATTAACATTATTTGGAAAATGTTATGAATTAGATCTAAATTATTTATTAATGTGCTGCGATGGCATCTGGATGATAATACTCAGGGAAACCGTCTATAGGAATAATTTCTATGCAGGGGATGCAGGACTAAGGCAGTGATCTTGTTGGGTAAGTTTAAGCAAGGTCTCACTATAGCAAGGGGGAAAGGGAACAGAGATGCACAAACTTACTACTGTTGGCACTGCGTGATAGTTGGACATACATGATCTTTACATTTAAATACCATTGCATACTTTTAATTTTCTCTACTCTCTAACTCACCTCTGCCAGTCTCTAGTGGAAATCATTTCTACATAAGTTTCCAGCAATATGCAGTGTGATTTTCCTGCACTACATCTTGGAGTAATTTTGAGAGGAGATGCAGGGCTAGGCTTTTCCCCTTTGTAAGCCAGGAACTTCTTGGACTTGGTGTGTGTCACTGAGAAGGAACTGCCTCTCCAGTAGCAAGCAGGTACGGGCCTGTTGTTTGCTGAGCTTGTGTTTGTAACCTTGAGAATTAAAAAATCTATAAGCATGGTCAAAATAATCCTGACAGTTTAGAAGTTTGGGGGTTTTTAATTAGTACTATTGATCTCCCAGTTTCTGAGCCTTTATGATGTAGCAGAAATTGGAGCTTCTTACTGTTCTCTACAGCCTCGAGCAAGGTACATTTTAAATTAAATTGAGGGTTGCCACAGACACATGATTTGAAGACCTAATGTCTCAAGTAGAGTATAAGATAGTGCAAAACTTCAAGTTAAATAATGACTTTTGGCAGCACTCTGCTTCTTCTTTTGTTCCTGACGAAATCCTGCTAAATCAGTGATTAGAGGCGATTGTAAATTCAAATATCCTGCCTTTTCCTGTGCAATCACTTTTTCTCACTTCCTAGCATCAGTTAGTTCTCTCGTATATTTAGTTTTCCTTTATATCATCAGTTTGCTTATCTGAAAAAACAGTTTCCTCGACATCCCCAGTCAAGTCCCTGTGAACCTGCCACTGTCCTCAGTCCCACACCAAACACATCCAGTCAGCTCCTCGTGTCAGGACCCACTGAGGTACCTCAGAGCTCTCCAGCTCTACTTTGGGCACTGCATCTCTTTGGCAGGAAGGAGCAGAAGCCTCCAGCAAGGAGAGTCCCAAAGGAAACAGCCAGGTAGATGTAGCCTTTGAGACCTGAGGTCACGGGCCCTACCTCAGGACAAAAAGATGCCTGTAGGCTCCCAAAGAGGGTCCTGGGTTGGAATAGCAAGGTCCCAGAGCAGTTGGAGATACCCAGTGTGTGAAGAGCAGATTCACCAATCAGCCCGCCCAGCCTTCACAGTTGTTTTGCCAGTTACTTTTAGAACAGCTCATCCTGCAGATACACAGCAGCTTTTTCTTCTAAGCAGCTATTTTGTGTTTTGTATGCATTCAAGGTGGCAGCTTTTTTGAAGGGGTCCCTGCAGGAGCCCTTATGCACTCACCACAGGTTTCCATTGCTTCCCTGGTGTCACTCTAATGAGTTTAAATATCAAGCAGCTTAAAACATACAGGGGTTGTTCCCAAAAGGGGTGAATAGTCAGTGTTTTATATTCACTGGAGCATTTCAGCCAGTTTTAATCACAATAGAGTATGTTTGCATCTGGTCCCAGCCCTGTAAATCCTCCCTCAGTACTGTGGAGTAATTGAAGAATATGATTAAAGGTAATTATTTTAATTGCCCATTGACTCGGAAAGATTTCTGATAACACTAAGTAGAATCTGATCTGTAAAGGAAAGGCCTTGTGGATTGTCTGCATCAAGACAGACTGTCATCAGCAGTGGTGTGAGGGATGCAAATGAAACATCGCTCGCTTCCTGCAAGCACTGCGTGGATTAAGGGCTAGCAGGGAAGCACATTTTTTAACTGAATGCAGAAGACAGAATCTGTGAACTGTGCCAGTCTGCATGTGAAGTGTTTGGGCTTGTTATTAGTACACAGTGTTCAACCCCAGTGTAATGTCACTGATTTTGCTGAGGTTCCTGTTTGATGCAGTTGTGAATGTAAGCACAGGGTTCTTCCAGGGCTTAAACCCTGGAATACAAGAATTGAGGCCCTATATATTCAATAAGGTGAAATACTTAACACCTAACCATTCCAAAACCAGCATTTTTGTTGGAGGCAGCAGTAAAGAATGATGGTCTAATAATTAGGTCACCCACATTGAACTTGGAAAGCATTATCTGCATTCTCTGCTTTGCATATCCTGCATTGACCTTTGGCACAACACTTGGGCTGCTCCATGTCTTGTTTCCCCTCTCTGTGAAGTGTGGACATGCCTTCTGAGGAGTATGTGAATTGCTTTGATGAAGTGTTAGTAGTGACCATGCAAATTCACTGATGTAGTGACAAGGAGAGCAAAGGCCTTTGTGATTTTTTTTATGTATAAATATATAGTATCTATGGAATCAACTACTTCTGACTGTGGAAGGAAAGTACATCAAAAGATACTAAATTCAACAGGACCACTTTTGGCTTAGTGACGCTAAGCAGAAATCTTTTGTAGGGCAGTAGGCTGTTCTAGGAAAGCATTGGCACATACTTGTAATGGTCCTAGACTTCATCTAGATGTGTGCTATTAGCCACTGTATCAGAGGCTACTGGAGAAGATGGACAATTTTCAGAAGTCTGAAGCCTCCACAGATCCTACTTGTTTATTCTCTAATTACAAGCGCTGTATTTCAGACCTGGTCTATGTCATTATATAGTGTCATAATTCTCTGTCCTTTCTTTAATTCAAACTCTATTTATATTTCTTTTTGTAGGTGAGTATAAACTTCGTTTCTTTATCAGGTTTTCTAGGTAGGTACTTTCCTTTGTGTTTTCCCATTTTTGGTTGCTGAGCCAAAGCATTTTTAACAGTTTTTGTGGTTTATATTTGATTAAGTGTATTTCTAAAAACCAGAATAAATAATACTCTTGACAAAAATGATCTGATTTTTCAATTACAAACATGAGAGAGGCCAAGAAAGATTCAGTTTGCAACTGTTTGGAGTATTATGAAATTTGCCATCCTTTCTATTTGGGAGGAACTGAATCAGAGACTTCTGCATAACTCGCAGGGCAGATTTATATCAGTGAGGTGTGATTTACAGGACTTCTCCCACAGGCACTGCTTTTCTACCCATGCAGTTCTATTGACTCTAGTGGATTTTTGTCTGGTTTATTACTGAGTGAGCAAGTACCAAGCTGTGTGGCTCCTTCAGTTAGTCCCAATTTACACTGATGCAGCTGACAGCAGGATTTGACCTGAATAATCCCACTGTTGCTGTGGCACGTTCATTGTAACTAAAGCCAACGTTGCATCGTTATCCCTTTAGAAATGTGTGCTGTGTATGTGCTTCTTAACTCACTTCTTGTGTCTACAACTGCCTCCACTTCTGAATAATGCTATTCACAAGTATCAGTATGTTGCTGTGCATCTGCTGTGAGGACACTGCAGGTCCAGCATGACATAACTGGGACATGTCCAAAACCTGACTCTGAAGTCCTTCCTGCTGTTATCTGTTCAGGGGAATGACAGTGATCTCAGGGAGAGCTTGGAGTGATCAGCATGGCCAGGTGTAACAGCAGGCAAATAGGTGAGTGCATATGCCTGTTGTACCAGTTGTGGGCTGCCTGGACTGCATTCTTGATCAAGAATTAGTGGAGCTAACAGTGTCTTTTGTCTTTTGACTGAATGCCTCCAAAATGTCCCTTTTCATCTAGTTTTCCTTCACTGATTATTTCCAAGCAGTGCTGCACAGCTTGGCCCAAATCTAGAAGCTGCTGATGCTGCAGGCAGTGCTGGCAAAGCTAGTTGTAGGAGTGGGCAAAACCAGGATCTCCTTGGAGTGACAAAATGGTTGTGGCAGCTTCTGATTTGTCTGCGAAGAGCCATGCTGGCTGCTACAGTTGTGGGGCAGGAGATTTAGGCTTGATGGGGCACTGGTTGCTGCTGCCGTGGCAGCCCTGTGCAGCAGTGGCAATTACTAAGTGTGCCCAAACCTATCAGTGGCAGCAGAAGCAGCAGCTCTGGGGATCCCTTGTCCCAGCTGTCTGTCTCAGCGCTGTCCATCTTTTCCCTACACCCAGGGAGCCAAGGCGCACACCAGAAGGTTTCGGAAACTCAGAACCTATTCTCCAATCCTGTGCATTTGCCTCATCAAGACTACTAACTTTAATTCTCCAGGCCTTTCTCCTCTACTGCTTGTAACTTACCATTTTTTATTTCCATCTTTATTTCCCATAGTGTACTGAAGTGATGCAAAAGAAACATTTGTTCACACAAATAAGGGAAGGTAATAGCTTCCCTTCCTGACCACATGCTCTCTTCTGTTCCAAGTCTTAATTAAAATGGTACTAAAGGAAACAAATCAATTAACAGATACCTTACAAGACGGTTTATTCTCTTACACGTGTACACACGCACACATACACAATTACTTACAAGTATCACATTACTGCTTTAGCTTATCCATTAGCAAATGCCTCTAATGAACTCCGGTGTTACTAAACTGGGTAACAGACACCTAGCAATCTAGGGAAATTATTCCAATATGTCAATTTACTGTGAAAATAAAACTTACATTTTGTTGTTTAAAATGTGCAGAAAAATTACCATCCAGTTTACTTTGCACATTCAGAAAATTGCCTACTTAGCTAAGGTAATATTCAGATATTCAAATCCTTTCAGTTACAGTTACAAGTAGTACAGTAGCTTATTCTTCATAGAAACAAAATTCTGATATATCTGCTCTTACTCTCTGACAATGTGTTAACTCAAAGTCACTGACTCAGCACATCAACTCTGCCTTTAATGTGTGGGGTTAATTGCAGCTCTTTACACTCTGAAAGTTGATTATTGGATGGGACACCCTGGCTTCCATGATTTTTTTGAGTGATATTTCTTAATAATACACAGAATTTATAGGTTGGACTTCAGTCTGACATTTGCCTTTTTTTTTTTTTTTAACTTGAACAATTTCTGCTATATTACAGTAGTGAAGAACTGGGAAGAACTTCATTTATTATGATCTGCCACATGGCATAACTAAGAGCAGACACTGGCTTAAAAGTTAGTTTTAGGAATGCATGCTAGATGAGAGATTAAAAAATCCATATGTCTATAGACATCAGCCTGAGCTAAATTTAGTCAGATCCAATCTATTTACAGTTTGTGGTCTTTGGATCTGGTTAGTGGTTATTTGTAAGCTGCAATAAAATAAAGTAACATCCTGATTGGAGTCATTCTGTAACACTGTGACATAATGGCTATGCCTGTTAAATATTGTGATATTACTTAATGTTGTGTGTGCCATCTACCTGAGGCTCTCAAGCTTTGAGTTCTGCTGGGTATCCTGCGAGGAGCTGTAGAAATAGCAGAGGACGCCCAGAATAGCATTGCTGCTAGCCAAGTGCTCCCAGCGCTCCCGCAGCTGACATGTGCTGCCATGTCTTCTCAAGCTGAAAGGAAAGCCTGGCTTGAAATACAAAAATCTTCCTGCCTTTCTTGCACTTTGTGATGACAATACTTGTTATAGTAAAGCATTCTTGAAAGAAGTGGATTTAAACAAACGGAGTAGAATCTATAGAATTATTTTCTCAACTGAGACCAAAACCACAAGCTCACAGCTTTGGTAAAAGCTGGGATGTGTTTACAGAATAACTTTGGTTTAAAACCTTTAAAATTATTTAAACTATTCTAAATGTTCTGAGACAAAGTTCTATGTTTTCTGATTATCACTCCTACTGTGAGAAGCTTGCAATTGGACCCAGGCAAAGCAATTTTTATGAAATCAAATTCAACAGAATATGTAAGGCTAGAACAAGAATGAAGGGGATGGGAGACTGAAATTATTCACAAATTCTGATTGAATTTAGTGCATTGTTTTATACTAAAAAAACAGGGATGGGTGAATTTTGAAAATGTCAGATTAGTTTGTTATAGAATGTTGACATGAAATGTTTTGTTTCAGAAGTCCAGAAACTTTCTTTTTTAATACAGAAGATTGTTTTCTTGTCAGTGTTCTAAAAACAAACCATAAAAAACATTATTTCAAAAAGGAATTTTTCATTTTAAATGACCGTAGTTAATTTCAAATAGCTGAAATTAGCATTATCACCCACAGTTAAACAAAACACATCAGTCCTAATGCTAAAAAAACAGATATAACTTTAGTGTGAATGAAATGTTTTCATATTAACACAAAATGTGTATTTCCTGAAAAACTTCAGAAGCCTAGTTTTATTTCAAACTCAGACTAATGATTTTTAAAGTTATTTCAGTCATTATTTGCCTAACTGGAAATATGGGCATGACCATGAATTCTGCTGCTGAAATGTATTGCTACCTTTTTGATTACCTTATATTTAATTGAATTTAGAAGTCAATCATATACTTATCACAGACTGAACAGGATTTATTCATGAGCAGAACTCATATATTGTATTTTCCTCATATATTTTCTTCATATACATGCTGTTGAGGATTGCAAGCTTTTTGTGTGCAGATGATTGAAGTTAGCATGCACTGTAAGCTCTTCCTGTAATCAATCAATCAATCAGTCTTTCAATTAAAGAACAAAGAGAGGAAATGGTATTGGTGAGATTCCTGCCTGTGCACAAGAGACTTCTATTGATCCTCAGACCAGGTAACTGTCAATTGCAAAAGGATTATTGATCATTTGCACTTCGTTTTTCTAGTACATTGATGTCATCTCTGAAAAGAAAGAAACATCACAGATTAACAATAACTTTCTGGCTTTGGTTTTACCTGGAATGATCCATAGCATCATTGTAAAAGCTGAGCCAGGAGATACCCAGATAAAAACTACAGGAATTCTAGAAAATTATTAATGGTGCTGCTGAAATTACATTCATGAAGTTCCTCCCACTTAACTTTTATTTTTGTAGAAGTTTCTTTGTATCTTTGGAGGTATTTGTTTTTCCTAAGTGAATTAACAGAACACAGGTATGATTCTGGCTGTTGTGGTGACTTCCAGATGTCCTCTTCACTGCCAGGTAGGAATCCACTTGCAGCAAGCAATGCATTTTAGGGCAGTGTCCTACTATAAGAACTGCCCCCCATGTTGCAGACTCTGGATTATTGTCTTTCTGGGCTGATTCCCAGTATTGCCTTGCCACATGAGTGGGGAGCACCTGAGCAGCTCCTGGATCCGTATTGTGGCTGCATCTTTCTAAGAGCTTACTACTTGGAATATCTGTTAATATGCCTACATAGGGCAGGCAGCCTTGCACTATGGCTGGACCTTATGTTAGGGTGTTGTAGGTATATATCTGGGAAGCTGGGGGACAAGGCAGTTAAATTACTTGTTTTAGGCCATGCAGAGTGTCTGGCAGATCTGGGCTGTTGGTAGGAGCTCAGGGTAACCTCACAGTTTATACTGCTGTGCAACCTTTCCCTTTACCTAGGAGGATGTGCCTTTACAACTTCTGTGTGTCTGCCTAATACTGTCACTCCACCTCCCTGTTCTACCAGACTTCTCCTTTCCCCCAGAACATACCTGTTTTGGCTTGATCCCATGTTTGACCTGTAGGGTACAGAGAGCAAGATATTAATTGTGACTTTCAGAGCAGTAATCAAATATGAGCATTCAAAGAAGCAACGCATTAAGAGTTGGGAAAGTGCAGGAACTTTTCTTTTTTTCTTTTCTTCACTGCTCTTAATCTTTTATTCAGTTTTACTCCATCTAGCGTTAGATCTTGGAAATAAGATCCTTCCTTGCCTTGCAGCTCTCAATTTGTTTATATTAGATCTCATGACTCCACTGGTAACTAGTACTCATTGAGTCCTTTTGTTTCAATACTACTTAAGCATTTTCTGGTGATTTTGCTAAAGAAAAACTCACAGGAGATTTGGCAGGCAGGGATGTGCTTCTTGTAATTTATCTCAGTCTTTTTCCCTTCTCTGAGAGAAACTTTGTCCCACACGTCTTTTAGAAAGCTGTGCTGAAATTTTCTGTTCATGTTTCTGTTCATGTGAAATTCTCTGCACTAACCATTAGTGTCTGTAAGAAAGAGTTAAGACCTCATTTTCATCTTTCTAGATTGAACTGGGCATACAGTCCATGGGAGACCATGTGATGAAGCATATATAGACTGGAATCAGAGGGATTTTTTCTGCTCTGCTCCATTTCCTCCCTTATTTCTTTCTCCAGCTTGGGGCTGGAGTGAGTCAGCATAGCTCTATAAAGTGTCTGCACTTTCTTGAAGTGCTTTCACAGGCAAGTTCCCATACTGCTGGCTTTGACCAGCCCTTCAGGGAGCTTCCAGGGCATTCAGAGATGTCTGCTGAAGTGCAAGGAGGGAAGCTTGCCAGTACCTGCCTGCCAGCCTGCTTGCGTGCAGTCTGGTGACCACGCTGGAGGTACCTGGGGGTTGTGTCAGCCCTCTTTTGCCTGCACTGGCCTGGCACTTCACAGACGCAAGGAATTTCTTTTAGTGATAACAGTTCTGATGTTACCCAGGATGTCACGATTATACAGCAATACTTTTCAGCTTCTTCCACACAATTTGTGGCAGCTCTTTCCCCCCCAAAAAAAGAGAGGCATTTCAAAACATAATCAGGGGACCTGATATGGGCTGCGTTTATGAACTTGTCAAAATTTCTTCACGCAAAATAACACAGATTTAAACATGTGAACTAAATTACACAAATTTCTGCCTGTCTGGAAATGTAGCTATTAAAAAATACAATTCTCCCATTTTCTTCTGACTATAACAACAGATTAATGCAGAACAAGGGCAATGGAAAGTGATTTGAGCTAACTGGGCTGAACCAGCAATGGATTAGGTTCAGGGATGCTCACTTGATAGCTTCCCCTGCTTCTGTGGGAGGAGGAGACGGTGGCAGGGAACTGCTGGGAAGGGCCTTGTCTTTCAGCACTGTTCCGAAGTGATTGCCCGCTTGTGGCCTAATCCTAAGTAATTCAAGTCTCTGGATACAAAAAAAGCAAAGAAGAGACTGGTTGGGAGGCCAGTGCTCAGCATAATCCAAAAGTCACCTAAAGAAAGCGTCTTTCTTGCTGATGTTCTCAAGTGGCATTCCCACTATTGACAATGCCAGTTGTTGCAGGAAAGGATGGTCCAACCTTCCCCAGCACCTCAGATGTAATATTTTACTACTTCCCTTGTGCCAGATGTCCTTGAACAGCCTGATCTCTCTGAAAATTATTTTTCTGCTATACTGCATAGATTTTTGTCAGGGCCAGTTCCCTGAGGCAGTGAAGATGCGTGACTGCCTAACCAGAACATGTGGCTGCACAGGGAGGGAGAGGGAGGCGGAGCAGGACTGTCTCTGGGGATGGGATACTCTGTTGGCTTTAGGCTTTGCTCTCCTCTAGGGATTTGTGGAAACTCACTCAAAGGAACCAGTTCACAAACACTTCAAAGACAGCATTTCCACTGAAAGGGGTAGTTATTCTTCAACACTTGTCTCCAGATCCCAGCCCCCTCCTCTACCTCTCCTGTGCCAGCACAAGCATTTCAATATCTGTGTAGTAAATCAGATTTGGGAGTGGGCCAGGTGTTGTTTTTAATGCACAAAAAATAACTTAGTTACTTTTCAGCCAGTGGTTTTCAGTCTTCTTCCATTTACAAGTCTATACAAATTTTTGACAGAAGCTGTGGGCCTCTGTGAAGTGTCTTTAAGCCCAATTTAAATCTGTATGGAAAGCCTTTAAGCCCATAAACTTCTATAAACCCATGAGAAATACTCCATGGATCACAAGCATTTGCAGCCTACAAGGCAGAAGTCAGCATTGCTTTGTGTGATACTTGCTCATTTCTTTCAGCTATTTGCTCTCTGACACCAGGCTGTAAAGTACAGATGGAATATGGAGGTGGGTGGTTATAAGCAACAGCCAGAAGAAAAACAAACTTAGCTTTGCTGATACCTAGTACAGGTACATCAGTACTTCAAGACAGAACTCTGGGAGAGTAAAAGATCAGGGAACTGAAATAAAATGATCTGGCAGAATATGTATATGATCTTAAAAAAGGATCTATAAAAATATTTTCTGAGAGGTCACTGATAAAAGGCTCCTAGGAGTCCATCTGAAATTAGTGATTCCTTTTTCATATATTTAGTATGAACTTGTCCAGAAATTCAGTGGCATGCAGCAAATTCTGTGAGTTGGCATATGCAGGAGCTCTGATTTGATGCTGTTCTTTTCTGGCTAAGACCTGTGGCAGTCTGAGCCTCTTGCATTAGGAGACCTTGTTTTGTTTGGTTTTAAGCTGTCCTTCAGCTATGATAGCAGCTTTCATTCCTCGCTAATCCCATGTTGTCACCTCTCTGACAAGCCCTAGAGCTACTCAGCCTGAATGGCAGATGGGCTCTGTCTGGGAGCAGGGGGCTCTCTGATCGGTGGCATCTAATATTTGAGTTAGCCTGGGTGTCTGTTGACAGGAATGAAGAGGGTACTTTTCCAGAAACATTTTTTATTTTTTAATGCAGACTCGCAGCAGCTCCGGAGAAAGGTAAAGTTACTTGTTTATTGCTGGAATCAGTGGCACCACCAAGTTTGCCAACAGAGACCACGATGGCTGTGGAAGGAATTGCCTCTGACAGGTGTCTGAACATCACCAGGAAAGCATTCTCCTGACTCAGCAGGTTTGGGACTAACTCTTACAATCAAATGATTTAGAGCTATTCAAGGCTAGCCTCAAACAGTTGTGCAGAGGGTTAGGAAGGAGTAAGGATTCCTCCGTGTTTGGCAGCTGTGAAAAGGTCAACTGCAAATGCAGCCCCCAGATCTGAAGGAAGCACAGACATCCTGGGCCAGATGCTCTCCCAGGGAATGTGGAGAGTGGCCAGGGAGAAGCAAAAAATAGCCAGAAGTGTGGCTCTGCCTGTCAGGCTGGTAGCTGGCATCAGTGAAGTATGCTGTATCCTGGAAACAAGTTTAATGAATTAATCTCAACCTAACAGTCTGGGCTATACGTATGTGTCTATATATATAAAAAACTGCCTCTGTGTGCATATGTGTCTGTATATGAAGTATTCCCTCCATTCAGGAATGGTGCTAAGAGGAACTGAGAGCCTGAAAGTACCTACAGAGTGTCTTAGTGCTGCTTTTTAAAGCCTGGTGTCCCCAGCACAGTGCAAAGCTTAGTGTCCTTGGTTTTGAAATGTATGATATAAAGATTAATTTCATTTTATGGAAAGGGTAACCTGAGCCAAAGTATCTTGTCCAAGATGGTTCAGAAGAACAAGTTCGGCTACAGGACACTGATAGAACCAAGTAGAAAAGCCAGTTTACTGTTCTAGTCACTGGTGACCGTTTTCTCAACGCAGAATGGATATTTACATTTTGTTTCCACAAAAATACTTGGGGTACACAGGAATGGAACTTCAGAAGATGAAGACTCAAAACCAAAGGGTGCACTCAAACAGCACAAAACAAGGACAGGGATGCTGTCTATTTGTCCAGGAGCAGTAGTCTGTGAGCTATGGGGGGAGCTGTGGCATACTTTGTATTGTGTAAGAACCACCATTTCTAGTCCTCAACATAGGAAGAAAGACACCTGAAGGCTATAGATGAGGGGTGAAGAAAGCCCAGTGGGCACTAGGAAAGATAGCTAGGGTTGAGATAGGAGAATAAATGGACTAGGAGGCAACAGAGGTCTGCCATTTCCATCAGCTACAGTGATGGTCATATGCAGATGAATGTTGGATAGATTTTGAAGCTTTTTAGTATGTCATCTAGTGCTTTTTCTTCTCCCAAACCTTGCTCTTTCCAAACCAGACAATGTTTTCTTTCTCTAGCAGGAATGCTATGGCTTCAGACAAGGACAAAACTGAGCTGAGTGGGGAAAGGGAGGTAACAGGTAGGCTGGGGCAGATCCACCTGGAGGGGTGTTTTTGTGGGACTATATGAAGTGGTTTTTGTGCCAGGGAGGCTCATCCACACTGAAGTATGAGCTGCCTTCTGCTGGGCCTCTTTCTGGCAGCTCTATTTTCTGACAGCTGAAGTTCTTGCTTTTTGTGTTTGCTGCTGAAAAGCATCTTGGAGGATTCAGTCTGTTCCAGGCACTGTTCTGCTAATGAAGAAATATGAGACACCTCAGGAAGGGCTGCCCATGACCCAGCTGTCAATGATTTTGAATGTCTTCTGATAACTTCCATTTCCTAAGTCACTGGTTGGGAGTTTTCTTTCTTTCTTTTTTTTTTTTTTTTTTTTCCTTTTTTTTCTATTTTGCACAGCTAGTGAGTTGAGTTTGCAATATGAGCCAGTTGTGGTTTGAGTGAATAATAGGCAGACTCATATTATATTTAAAGAAGAAAGTACTTTTGAAAATTAGGATTCTTCATTGTTGTATGTCTGAAGGCCAGGATGGGAAGAGACCAAGCAGGTGGGACACTGTGTGAAAGCTTAATCCAACTCACCTTTTCAAATCATTCCTTACTAAAGCTTGCCCTTCTGTTAAATTTGGTAACACTCCAATTCTTTCCTCAGCATACCAGTGACTGTGCTTAACAAATTCCTTGCCTAAGCCTGTATTTCTTACTTGTATCCCATGTGTTGGA